CAGGCAGTTAAACGTAGCCGGGGCGTTAGACAGCCCCTGTGGCAGAACGAGCCACTCCCAAAGCATACCGCTTGGAGTACTCTCCGCTGTTAGCGTAATATCACTTTCTCGCATAAGCAGCTGGTAATAACCATCGACTAAGTCTAGTGTACTGTACAATGTACATCCCACCAAATCGTTCTGAAGAACATCCTTTCTAGAAACAGGTGTCTGTGCCGGTATATTGGCTGCATTAAGCTTATTGTAAGCATGCACAATGCGTCACTTGTCATTTGGCTTCTTGACACAAATTGCCGGTGTCGAGTGCGGAGACTTTATCTCACGAACCATGCCAGCCGTATGCTTTGCACGAAAGGAATCGTTAATGACGTCACACTGGTCCTTTGGTAGGGGCCGTTGCCGTCTCACACAGTATTTGGTTCAAGGAAAAAGGTCAATTTCGTGACGTACGCCTCAATCAGGAGGCAGAGTGGAAGGTGGATCGTGACACACCACATTCTCAAACTCCTTAATCGAAGACTAATCAGGTCTCAAAGATCTTCCGATATCGAAGATCCACTTCGCGCACTAAGTGCCTCTTTCGTGTATTCTAGGACAGACTTATCCATTAACGACGACGAGTTTAACTCCCTATCGGTTTTTTTGACCACCAACTTACATAATCCATCTTGACTTTAACGTGAGAAAAAAATCACCGACATGCATTTGTCTAGCTTTAATGTAGTATTTAGTGAGGGTGGAGCCTCAAGATTTACTGAACTTCTACGTCATCAGTCACTCCATTAATAATTAATGATGTAACATACGCCTGGCGTTGCTTAGCAGCAATCTGGCGTCGCTGTCGTCTCTGTGACGAGACTGAATGTCTCAAATCGACTGATATATTCTTTTTTTACAAGGTTGATATCTTGCTTACTTGCTCTGTGCAATAGCCTGTGTCATTACCCACATCCGGAAATTAATGTCACCAAGATTGACATAGCCGTCAACCTTATGTTGCTCATTACCAGAACGACATCTTTACTGACAGGCGGGACTATACCGCCTCCCAAGGTGACGAACTGCGTTAAACTTAATTTGTCCGAAATTAGAACCTATGTCATTTCCGACATCTGGTACTACACGGTTCCAAAGATGATAAAATGTGGTAGACCTGTTTAATATCACATTCAATGTCATTACCTACATCTGGTGATGAGTAACTTCCGGTAGTATCATCACCCATCGTGAACTTACGTGCCACTCCACACTCATCAAATGGGCGTTGCCCTTGATGACATGATGTTTCATCAGCAATATCTTGAATGATATTCAGTGTTTCACAATCACGACCAACATCACTCAGTGATGATTTACGTGAACTCCACGCTCATTAAATGAGTCCAATTTAGTATGACTAATCGATAGGTCAATAACGCGTTCATTATTCATTGATTAGTTTCCACAAGGATTATCACTCGACGGAGTACGTGCCATTCACCAACAGTCATTGAGCTTGGCTCGTTACTATTATTTTTTGACATCGTCCGTCTCAAATAGTTCAATCTTCTCGATATCTGGCACACTGACTGTCTCAGTCCGTGGCTCGCGCCAATAGCGTTTTTATCTCCAAGCAGAGGTGGGTTCATGACTCTCCACAGCTACACTAGGAACAGTCCGCGTTGCACCTAGGGTCTTTCACCTTCAATAAACATATGGATCACGACGTTTTAGCCAAGCCATAGTAAGATTGAGATCATACCTCTCATCTAAGTCAAGTACTAGACAGCGTTCGACACTGTCATATTCATATAGATAATCACATAGTTTCACAAGAACCTTAGGCACAGTGACTTATGCACCCTGTCTCAACGTGAAGAGTGATGGTCTCATTATTTCGCGCTTTCAGCGTCTCAGCATACTGCTGACAATCCTTGAGGAAACAACGTTGGAAATATTTATCCGGCGCCCCGGAGTCGATTAGTATCGATCATGGCTTGTCAAAGCCATCAAATATTGCTTTTGCAACCAACAAGCCTATCTTGTACTCATAATTCGTTAGAAAGTTCATAAAGCCACTTGAGGCTAAGCCCTGTTCTCCATCACCTCCCAGAGGTTCAACAAAGCATAAATTTTTCCAGTAGGGAGCGTTGCGCCCCACTGGAACTCGACGTTTTCCCGCGCCTTACCATCTCGTAACTAAGCGACGGGGGGTCGGCTCGAGTGAGCCTAACTGTTTTTCCCGAAGATAAATTTAGGCGAAGAAGTTTACTGTTTCCTCAAGCATAACATCTACGGATATCCGAACGCTGTTCGACAGCGTAAAACTTAGCTTCTTCGTTTATCTCTCAGCAAGAATAAGGCTCATAGTTTCTGCCCTATCCATGAGATGAGCATTGCTCAGCGAGTTCGCAAAAAACTCAAGAAACCCGTAAAGGGCAGCTTTAGAGTTGAACCCTGCGCCAAACGCTATGTCCACATTGCACCCTCAAATGTCTAGGGTTGTGTACAAAGCACTTCTGATCTGGCAACACCAGTACGAAAACCTTCCATGTAAATGGCTACTAAAACCGTTTCATGTACAGAGTCAAGTTCCATAGCAGCGATGAGAGTCTGCAACTGTTGAACATAATCGACTAATACCTTTTTTCTGGCGGCTTTAGAGAAAGTGTGATTGCACGTGATATGCCTGATTAGTCGTGGCAAACACCCGATATAGCTGCTGTTTTAGCATGGCCCAAGTGGAAAAATATCGTATAATGAGGTGTAAGAAGTGAAGGCCCACTATATGGCTCGCCGACCTAAGTTTGATAGGACCAGTTCCACCATCTGCTGCTCTGACCACAGCAAGACTGAATGATGGCAACCTTCATCTCTCGAACCCACAAAGGAAATTTACTCCCTCATTTCTCTCGAAAGTCTCTATACATAAAAAACTAGAGGACGAGTTCTTGACTCAGTGTCTGGCATTGGAACATACCGAGTCGGAATGGCAGACGCCAAAATTATAAAACCTGTTTAATTAGCGTGGACTTAAAGTTCGAAAAGGTCTCTAGACGTGCACGCAGTGCGTCCGGCCTTGCTACAATATAAGAGCCGCTTGCTCGAGGCCGATCAACGCCTTTACCTTTTTAAGCGTCCCCCTGTTAGGCCTCAGAGAGGTGCATGGCCGTTTCCTACCTCGCAGACGATTTTAGTCTGTAGTGACTCAGGTGTTAGTTGACTACAAGGGTTACTAAGTGTAGCGGAGCTACTTATAGCTCCTTAACAGAGGTAGTCTAAGACTTAAGGAGTCTCTGAGCTTTAATAAACTAACAACGACGTACAGTTGTTAAAGCTTACATCTTTAACAATCCCGGTTTCAAAGGGATTACGATTTACAGAATCCCACACCAGCTGGTAACTACTATTTAGACAACAGTAAACGCCTTTACAAGGCTAATAATCTTACAATAATACGCCTTGACTAGGCAATTGTGTCCAACGATTCAAAGGGTAAGCCGGACTTTATTTATTCTTTAACTACGGTAGTAAAACATTAAAACCTTGTCGGACTGACTTCTACATTGCGATCCTATGACATAAGTTTTATCCTTACCCGATAACGTGCGGTATTACCGTAAGTACGTGGTACCAAGCCTCTGCCACTCGGATCCACAAATCTAAATTTATTGTGGAGTAACAACAAAATCGGCTCAATAACCGTGTGTAACCCCGTTACAGTAAGGGTGTTCATTTTGATAGAGTTGTTGATATAAGTAAGGTTGCAACATGAAAGTCAGTGTCTTGTGGGTGTTTAAATTTTTCCAGTTGCGTTCATTCTCTGATTAATCAGAAGCACAATATCTATACCTCACCTCTAACTGAAGCCAATTAGACAGTGGATTATAGCCAATTAAAACAATTATCAGGGGTTGTGGACGGTTAACGTTTGGGTGGTGGATGCGTAGCGCTTTCATTTTGTATATTCCACTTAACTAAAGTGTCATCTCACTCTTCTACAGCTGCGCTGTGATCGTCATGTCTTCAAATGTAGAGCATGCAAATAGCGTCATTTTAATTTTGTGCTTCAGCAGTTTGGCAAAAATGCTTAGTCAGAACAGTAGTGTACATATTAGTCAGTCAAAAATCTAGCTGACGTATGAGCCCGAGCAGACAATCGACTAAATTTCTATGTCTTCCATCGTACACGCTATGGCATCCATATACCCTCACCTTTGATCTCCAAGTGACACTGAGAGCTACTCATACGAACGCAACAAGTTTACTATAACACACGTGCCAGATAGCCTTGTAGTTGGATCGTATATTCGCCTTAGTCCTTTTACAATTTCCTTCGAATGCCTGTTACCCAATGTGTACCCTACCTACGAACTCTTTCAGATGCACGCTAACCCTTTCAACGGCACGCCTACGAATCTGCTTACTCTATAACAGAAATCTGCAATGACCTGCTATGTTTCGCCACCGCATGCTGTTCGATGGACCTAAATCTCTTTTACTGGTACCAAGAACCTTCATCAGAAGTGCCACATGTAACGGGGTGAATCGTTACGTAACAATTTATAAGAAATTGTTAATAGAATATAACTATAAGAGTTATATTCTCAGAATATTGTCATAAGGACAAATATTCTGTAGCACTTACGAGTAGTTCCTAATTGGTTGATATAGGCCATTATATCAACCAACGAAGACGCGCCACGACAGACGCACGCAATGAGTGGTGAGCAGATAATCAATTTACACATTTGTATTTAGACATAGTTAGATGAAGATAAATAGTGATTTATTGCAGACATTAACTATACTAAATACAGTTCTACTTTTTACTTTAACCAAGTACTCGCTTCTTCTTACCGTCTTCCTCTGCACGTACGAGCGTACGTGAAGTTACGAGGCACCGCCTTATTCTGTCATCAGAATACGTAGCTTGTACTGTCACCAGTACAAGCTTCAGGGTGCCCCGTTACACCTGGTAGCACTTCGTAGTCCGTCCAAGGACCGCGTTCACATCCAACATGAATATGTTGGATGATGAAGATGACCAAAGCTTTCACGCTACGCGTGACGGCTACTCCCATTTGAGCGATGTCGAATGGGATGCGGTTGAACGAATGGGTTCTACCATGGGCATCCATGCTGTTAGCGTCATGCTAGAGGCTCTCAATAGAGATGCCCAACATGCTACTATCGCCAAGTTCATTCAAAATGAACTTGACGCTGAACGCGAGAAAGTAGCCTTGCTTCACCAACAAGGTTCTCAACAAGCAGAGTTGTTGATAGAACAAGGTGCTCAACAGTTTGAACTGTTGAGACAGCAGCAGGCTGCTGCTGGCGGGTCGATGCACTCGCGTCGACCCGAGACTTTGAAGATTGACATCTCAAAGTATAGGGGGGTCGAAGAAGACTCCCTCTTGAGATGGTTCGTCGAATTGGATGACGCCATAAGGGCGCGTCGCATCGACGACGGGGATATGCAAGCTGCATTTTCCCAGTCAAATCTGGCAGGACGTGCCAAGACTTGGGCACTGGGGCTCAAGCTGCACGACCCATATGCGTTTGGGTCGTTGGAAGTCTTCAAGTCGCGGCTCAGACAAACGTTTGAACCGCCTAGAGCTGAGTTCAGGGCTCGAACCGAACTCTTGAAGCTCAAACAGGGTAAGCGTGATGTGCACGCTTACGCCCAACATATACGACATCTTACGAGATGTATAAGTTCCAATCCGGTGGATGAACACACGTTGGTTTCGGTGTTCATGCAGGGTCTTGCGGATGGTCCCGTCAAGACTCACCTGTTCCGGCTTGAACTAGATTCACTAGAACAAGCCATTTCCATTGCGGAGCAGGAAGATTTCAGTCTGAGACAGGCTCGCGCCAGCTCGACATCATATCGTTAACCGAGACGATATGACAACGGAGGTCCAGAGCCGATGGAACTCTGTTATGTAGAGAGCGAGAAGGCTCGCTCTACAGGCTACAAGAAGTTGCAGAGATGCAACAGATGTCAAAAGACAGGACACTACGCTTACGAGTGTAGTGCCCCTCGTCCAGTGTCTCGCGACACTGGGCGTAGTGACCGTCCACCCATGAGAAAGGGGCAGGGACGAGGGTCCGCAGTTGGTGCAAAGACGCAACAACGGGATGGACCGTCAAAAAACGGACAGGATCAGTAGGTGCGGAGCACCCTACTGGTCTAGCAACGTCAAGAGAATTTGTAGGCCTCTTGATGAAGGTTGCTCCCAACACACAAACGTTGTGCGTTGCTGCTCTAGGTAATGAGGTCTCACTCATTACCTTGAAACTCGAAATGACGAATAAGTTGTCCCTTCGAGCTCTAGTCGATTGTGGGGCGTCCAACAATTTTGTGCGACGCCAATCGCTAGAAGATGGTCACTTTAAATTCAGTGAATGTGACACACCTCCTACGAGGATGACGGTACGTCTTGCGACAGGCGCATCCGTAACCGTCATGAAGCGTATAGTGAAGGTTCACTATACGCTAGAAGATACCCAATATGACGATGACTTTATCGTATTGGATTTGGATGACAAATTTGATGTCATCCTTGGAATACCGTGGCTCAGAAGGTACGAACCACGAGTAAACTGGCAACATCGAACAGTAACGATGCCTGCCGCTTGTTCATCAGATGGCCATCTGATGAACGTTTTGGAGCGTCCACAAGCGTGTGGATGTACTACGAGTGAGTGCGATGGCCTCACTTGTGGTACGGTCGTTAGTAAGACTGCACAAAACCTTAGTGTACCAAACGGTTACACTTCGGAGCAAAGTTCCGGCGGCTGTGAGGAAACACAGGCTGCGCCGAAGGTCCACCACTCGAATAAGTCGGGTGGACTGGGACAAAGATGTATCCCTAGCGGGGAACATCTAGAAGAGAAACAATCGATCGCTCAGGTTAAGCGAAACGATAATCCTAGATCGACTGGAGAGTCTTTCGTAGAGGATCTCGCTGTGGTTGCGCAACCCCAGCTAGAGGAAGTAAAGGGAATAAGTCCCAAGATTACAGATACGGCGGAAATAAGTTCCCCGAAACCCGCGGGAATAAGTCCCCGGGAAGACGAAGGAATAAGCCCTTCGAAGCCTGAGGGAATAAGTCCCCAGGAAATGACAGAGACATTGAATGTCATAGTCAATAACGGATCAAGTGTAGGCGCTTATACACTTGATCTGATTGCGCCTCCGAAGTTAACTTCGGAGATCACTCAGTTGCCAACGCTCGAACATAAAAGGTTCTTGCGTGATCTGCGTAGTGGCAAAGTCAAGCAGATCTGCATACTCGTCGCTGACGACGAGTGTGTAGCCGACATAAGGTCAGCAACAGTGTTCACTGAGAACGAGAGAGTTCTCAGTAGTTCATCTATGGACGAGAGTGTCCTAGATGAAAAGACACGAATTGAGCGATATGACTCTCAATCAAGGGAATCGCTCAAGAAAAATCCTCTCTATGAAGATTTGGTTGAATTCAAGGATGTATTCCCTGAAACTGTTCCGTGCGAATTACCGAAGGATAAAGGTATTCGACACGAGGTCGAGCTTAAACCAGGCTCGAAGTACTGTGTCATGAAGCAGTGGCCACTGCCTCGTGAACAAGTACTTGCGATCGACAAGTTCTTTGCCGATCGTTTAGCAGCGGGCCATGTGAGGGAATCAACTTCCCCACATAGCTCTCCGACCTTCTGTGTGCGAAAAGCAACAGGAGGGTGGCGGATAGTGCACGCGTTTAACAAATTGAACGCTGCAACGGTACCGGCTCAGACGCCGATACCGAGGAAGGACGTAATCATTGATGGTATGTCAAAGAGTACCATCTTTTCGTCCATGGATTTGATGGATGGCTTCTATCAAATCCTTATGCGGGAACGGGATATAACCTATACCGCAGTTAGCACGCCTAGCGGCATGCTCTGGGAATGGCTAGTAATGCCACAAGGGCTCAGTAATGCCCCTGCCACGTTCAACAGATGTGTATCACATCTGTTGAGACCAGTACGAGAATTCGCGCCGAGTTATTTCGATGACGTATTCATCCATAGTCGAGCTATGGATGGAAAGTCGGACGTTGAGGTTCACAGGTACCACGTCCGACAAGTTCTTACAATCATGCGAAAGCATCAATTGTATGCTAACCTCAAGAAGTGTATATTTGCAGCAAGCGAAATACCACTTCTTGGGTGCATCGTTGGTAAGAACGGTGTACGTCCTGATCCCGAAAAGATCAAGGCGATCACCGACTGGCCTGTGCCGGTTGATGTCAAAGGTCTTCGAAAATTCCTTGGGCTAGCGGCGTATTTGCATAAGTATTCACGCAATTACGCCGAGATGACTGTGCACCTCTCTCGTTTGTTGAAAAAGAACGAGAGGTGGTTATGGAACGCTGAATGTCAGCGCTCCTTTGAGGGTATCAAGCAGGGCTTGATACAATCCCCAGTCCTAGCAATAGCCGATCAGGACAGGCCATTTCATGTGGTCTGTGATGCCAGCGATTTTGCAATCGGCTGTGCATTAATGCAGTACGATCTTGAAGGCGTTGAACGCGTCGTCTGCTATCAGTCGCGTCAGCTGCAACCAGCTGAGCGGAACTATCCAGTGCATGACAAGGAACTCCTTGCCATGAATTATGCACTCGCGAAGTTCAGAGTCTATCTATTAGGAGATAGACCCTTCATTGTTTACACTGACCATGCGTCGTTACGCACGGCAGTGAACAGCCCGCACCTTTCACAACGAATGGCGCGGTGGTTGTCATTCTTTGCAAAATACAACTTTACGGTCGAGTACAAACCAGGACGACTTAACGTCGTCGCTGATGCACTCTCACGTCGTCCCGACTTTGAAACAGTCGCGAAACCCAACAGTGAGACAGTCACTGTTGCGGTTATGACGTCCTCAGTCCCATCTACAACATTGTATGATGATGTGAGGTGGGCATACGCCCAAGTTGGTGAGATAGTGAAGTTGTTGACACATCTCTCCCAACCATCTCGAGAATCGTTGAAACGATTGTCGTCTGCGTATCGATCTGCATCAGATCGATACACTACTCGCAACGGTTTACTGTATTATACAGCCGTTTCTGGTAACACACCACGTGTTGTCATTCCAGATGATACTGATCTGCGTTTGCGGATCATGTTCGAGTATCACGATGCTCCTATAGGAGGACATCGTGGCCGAGAGAAAACATATCTCACGGTAAGTCGAGACTTTTACTGGCCCCGCCAGTATCAGTTTGTGCGAAAGTATGTTCGCGCATGCGCAGTCTGCCAACGAGTGAAGTCAAGTCCTTCACTGCGTGCACCTTTACAGCCTCTACCGGTTCCGGCTGAGTGCTGGGAATCCATCTCAATGGATTTCGTCTTCGGGTTACCCAAAGACGCACGCGGGAATACGGGTATTCTCGTATTTGTTGACAGATTCAGCAAAATGGTACACCTTGTGGCTGTACCAGAGACAATCACGGCAAGTGGCTGTGCTTGTGTCTTTATTGACACCATCTTCCGACTTCATGGGTTGCCCCGTGAACTCGTATCAGACAGAGATCCACGATTCACTGCTGATTTCTGGCGTTCCGTGTTCAAATCACTCGGAACGCGCTTGAAGATGTCGACATCTGATCATCCAGAGTCAGATGGTCAGACGGAACGTGCCAATCGTGTCCTTGAAGAGATACTTCGAGGATACGTACACTCCTTTAAGAGTTGGAGTGAGTTTTTGCCAATGGTAGAGTTTGCCATCAACAACTCGGTGCATGCGTCCACGACACATACACCGTTTTACGTGAATGGCTTGCGCCATCCGCGTGTACCCACCTTACTAGAGTGTAACTCTGGTTTAAGGGGGGGAGGGACTCGCGCGAGCAAAAACCGATTTGGATCACGCTCATCACGCTCTGACGAAGAGGTCATTGCGTTTGATGCCGATATCGATAACATCGATATCGAAGAAGATGATGCCAGTGAGAGTGCGGAAGCACTCACTGAAGAAGATGATCCCAGTGAGAGTGCGGAAGCCCTCACTGAAGAAAAGGTTGATGTTGCTGCAGTGCGCTCACAGCACACTGAAGCTAACGAGTCATCAGATGAGTTCATACTGGCTCGTGAAACGGTAGTCCGTTTTGTGCAAGACTCCATCGCCGAAGCGGTGGATAAGCAAAAGCAAAACGCTGACAAGAATGGAAGGGCAAACACTCTTTTATTTAATAAAGGTGACTTAGTCCTACTGTCTACGGTTAATCTACCAAAGCATGTAGTGACTAACTTGGGTAGCAGTAAACTACTACCCAAGTACATCGGCCCATTTCGTGTATTGCACCGACTAGGCAATGCATACACGATCGAGTTACCACGTAAGATGCGAACGCATCCCACGTCTTACGTTGGTCGGCTTAAGCCGTACCATCAGTACGCTGCTTCTTCCGATGAAGAACGCCCTTGCGCTCAAGCATCTCGCAGAGAGCCTTGTGCTCCCGATGGTGGGCATCAACAAGGGTCTGAAGAGCAGCTATCTCATCCCGAGACCGATCAGCAATCCCACGAGCTACCCTTAGCTCGTCACGAAGAGATGTCAGAGATCTCTCGTTCTCAAGCTGAGCAAAGGCAAACTCAGCTCGATGCTTCGAGGCAGTGTCCGCCATTTGGAGACGCCTATCCCGCTCATGTTCGAGATCGCCGCGTAACCCTTGCGTTACGCGATCAAAAGCTCTCTCGGGAACACACCGATCCACATGATCGTGTGGAGAGCGTCTTTCCTCCTCCTCCACCTCCATTAGAGGACTCTCGCGGTGGCCAGCGCTATCTAGTTGAGCAGCTGTTGAACCACCGCGACGTGAACGGACGTCGGACGAGTTATCTCGTCCGGTGGCGCGGCTATCCCCCGTCCTGGGATTCTTGGGAGCCCCGCTCCCAACTGATGATTGACGTACTGGGTCTGGTCGAGCAGTACGACGCGGCACATCCTGTGCCGCAGAAGGACCGCCGGAGAAAGCCTTCCCGGCACGGTCGTAAAGGGATTTCAAGTTGTCAATCCCTTCGTACATCTCACTAGAGATACGTACGCGCCACCACGGGCTATTAGGGAGGTAAGCCTCCTTAGGTGCTCGTGCAGAGTTGTTCACACAACATGGGCACGAGTCTCCCCAAGAGAGGCAGGGTAATCCTTTCTCCCTTGACAGACGATGCAGCTTGTAGCGTGCACCTGTCGGGGTTCGCTTTTCAAACTTATCACGAGCTTTGATAAGTTTGTCGTTCCAAGCGTCACGACCTACATCCTCGAGGTTATGGATGTAGGCGTTCCACGCCTGAAGTAGTGAGGGACCATCACGTTTGTGATTCCCACTGTACCATCTATGTTTGAAGAAAGCATCGATGAAGAATTCATGTTCAGCGCGATAGTTTTTCGCGCTGGGGTCAAGGTGATGGATCCTTGACGAATCGAACAATCGTGTTCGATAACGATCACTCGTCGTCGCCGACAAGTGATCCATGACTGATTCAGGAGGCATCCATGCCTTCTTCTCAGGAGCGAGACGCAACACATTGCGGTCCCGCTCTTCCTGCGACGTGCCGACAGAAGTACTGGCACCTCGCTGTGAAGTGATGTCCATAGGAGAACCGACACCACTATTAGCGCCCGAGTCTCGCGACCTCGAGCGCCTTCGCTTCGGCGATGGTTCATCTGATTCATCAGATGAACCAAAGATGCTGCGACGCAAAGCATCGTCCATGCCACGCTTGGCAGGCGGCTTAGATTCAATCGCCGTCGATACGGATCCGCCATCCGTATCAGGAGAGTACGAGACACCGAGCTCATACTCTGTGAAGACATGAGTGTCTTCATGACCAGCGCCTGCATCACCAAGTGACACAGGCTGGGTCGCTTCAGCAACCGATGAGACATCAGTTGCTGTTGTTTCTGCTTCGGCGTCCGCACAGAGACGTGCAGACGCGCTCTCGGCGGCCTTGTTCGCGCATCGCATGGGCTTGTTTACCATGCGATGAGATGTTGGAAAGTGGACGCGGACCAACAAGTGCAAACCCTGTCCCAAATGATTTGGGACGAGTATCCATTTAGTCAATCAGTCACTAAAGTGACTGATGGTTAGGGGGAGTGATGTAACGGGGTGAATCGTTACATAACAATTTATAAGAAACTGTTAATAGAATATAACTATAAGAGTTATATTCTCAGAATATTGTCATAAGGACAAATATTCTGTAGCACTTACGAGTAGTTCCTAATTGGTTGATATAGGCCATTATATCAACCAACGAAGACGCGCCACGACAGACGCACGCAATGAGTGGTGAGCAGATAATCAATTTACACATTTGTATTTAGACATAGTTAGATGAAGATAAATAGTGATTTATTGCAGACATTAACTATTATAAATACAGTTCTACTTTTTACTTTAACCAAGTACTCGCTTCTTCTTACCGTCTTCCTCTGCACGTACGAGTGTACGTGAAGTTACGAGGCACCGCCTTATTCTGTCATCAGAATAAGTAGCTTGTACTGTCACCAGTACAAGCTTCAGGGTGCCCCGTTACACCACATGTCGGAGTCCGTCGTCCGTGGACTTGCCGTGCAAGTCAAGGATTTTTTCCAGCACTGGCACTCCGCAGGACACCTTCAGTGCGTCATACAGCGATGTGAGCGCCTTTTCCAGCAACTTTCCCGCTTCGGCCTCTGCCTTCTGCATTTCTTCAATCATACCTGGGTCACTCAGCTCCTTCTGATTGAGCTCTCGCCAAATTCTCATTTTCATCGTCGGATCAGGAGTCAGGTAAGCGAAATACTGTGAAAGCAATATCATTCCCGAGGAATCCATATACTCAGAGGGAGCTAGCACTAACTTGACAACATCCACAGGACTCATCGCCTTCCTTAACGTTTCAAACAGACGTGTATGGTCTATGCTCCACAGGGCATTGCGCGTCTTCACGTGTTCGCGTTGCTGAGCTGAATTTCCCGCTACCTTGCGTTGCAAACGAGCATGCACACTGCCTGACTTGGCTGCCGGGGCACTCGAATGGAAGTTCGTCAGTAAAGGAGAGACGGTCTGCTTAACATTTGATCTAACAGGCGCCGATTGTAGCGCTTTCGTGGACGAGACCTTGGCATCAAATCCAATCACGGATACAGGAGCCCCCAACCTCTCTTGATCACTATCAATGATGGAAGCGCTCGAACTTGTCTCACCGGGTAAGGTTTCGTCCTTCGGGAGTAGAGTGAGATCCGCGGGAGAAGCGGCTACTGTAACGGGGCACCCTGAAGCTTGTACTGGTGACAGTACAAGCTACTTATTCTGATAACAGAATAAGGCGGTGCCTCGTAACTTCACGTACACTCGTACGTGCAGAGGAAGACGGTAAGAAGAAGCGAGTACTCGGTTAGAGTAAAAAGTAGAACTGTATTTATAATAGTTAATGTCTGCAATAAATCACTATTTATCTTCATCTAACTATGTCTAAATACAAATGTGTAAATTGATTATCTGCTCACCACTCATTGCGTGCGTCTGTCGTGGCGCGTCTTCGTTGGTTGATATAATGGCCTATATCAACCAATTAGGAACTACTTGGAAGTGCTACCGAATATTGTCCTTATGACAATATTCTGAGAATATAACTCTTATAGTTATATTCTATTAACAATTTCTTATAAATTGTTATGTAACGATTCACCCCGTTACATCACCCCCCCCTTAACCATCAGTCACTTTAGTGACTGATTGACTAAATGGATACTCGTCCCAAATCATTTGGGACGGGGTTTGCACTTGTTGGTCCGCGTCCACTTTCCAACATCTCATCGCATGGTAAACAAGCCCATGCGATGCGCGAGCAAGGCCGCCGAGAGCGCGTCTGCACGTCTCTGTGCGGACGCCGAAGCAGAAACTACAGCAACTGATGTCCCATCGGTTGCTGAATCGACTCAGCCTGTATCACCTGGTGATGCAGGCGCTGGTCATGAAGACACTCGTGTCTTCACAGAGTACGAGCTCGGTGTCTCGTACTCTCCTGATACGGATGACGGATCCGTATCGACGGCAATTGAATCCAAGCCGCCTGCCAAGCGTGGCATGGACGATGCTTTGCGTCGCAGCATCTTTGGTTCATCTGATGAGTCAGATGAACCATCGCCGAAGCGAAGGCGCTCGAGGTCGCGAGACTCGGGCGCTAATAGTGGTGTCGGTTCTCCTATGGACACCACTTCACAGCGAGGTGCCAGTACTTCTGTCGGCACGTCGCAGGAAGAGCGGGACCGCAATGTGTTGCGTCTCGCTCCAGAAAAGAAGGCATGGATGCCTCCTAAATCCGTCATGGATCACTTGTCGGCGACGACGAGTGATCGTTATCGAACACGATTGTTCGATTCGTCAAGGATCCATCACCTTGACCCCAGCGCGAAAGACTATCGCGCTGAACATGAGTTCTTCATCGATGCTTTCTTCAGACATCGATGGTACAGTGGGAATCACAAACGTGATGGTCCCTCACTACTTCAGGCGTGGAACGCCTACATCCATAATCTCGAGGATGTAGGTCGTGACGCTTGGAACGACAAACTTATCAAAGCTCGTGATAAGTTTGAAAAGCGAACCCCGACAGGTGCACGCTACAAGCTGCATCGTCTGTCAAGGGAGAAAGGATTACCCTGCCTCTCTTGGGGAGACTCGTGCCCATGTTGTGTGAACAACTCTGCACGAACACCTAAGGAGGCTTACCTCCTTACCAGCCCGTGGTGGCGCGTACGTGTCTCTACTGAGATGTACGAAGGGATTGACAACCTGAAATCCCTTTACGACCGTGCCGGGAAGACTTTCTCCGGCGGTCCTTCTGCGGCACAGGATGTGTCGCGTCGTACTGCTCGACCAGACCCAGTACGTCAACCATCAATTGGGAGCGGGGCTCCCAAGAATCCCAGGACGGGGGATAGCCGCGCCACCGGACGAGGTAACTCGTCCGACGTCCGTTCACGTCGCGGTGGTTCAACAGCTGCTCTACTAGATAGCGCTGGCCACCGCGAGAGTCCTCTAATGGAGGTGGAGGAGGAGGAAAGACGCTCTCCACACGATCATGTGGATCGGTGTGTTCCCGAGAGTCTTTGATCGCGTAACGCAAGGGTTACGCGACGATCTCGAGCATGAGCGGAATAGGCGTCTCCAGATGGTGGACACTGCCTCGAAGCATCGAGCTGAGTTTGCCTTTGCTCAGCTTGAGAACGAGAGATCTCTGACATCTCTTCGTGACGAGCTAAGGGTAGCTCGTGGGATTGTTGATCGGTCTCGGGCTGAGATAACTGCTCTTCAGACCCTTGTTGATGCCCACCATCGGGAGCACAAGGCTCTCTGCGAGATGCTTGAGCGCAAGGGCGTTCTTCATCGGAAGAAGCAGCGTACTGATGGTACGGCTTAAGCCGACCAACGTAAAACGTGGGATGCGTTCGCATCTTACGTGGTAACTCGATCGTGTATGCATTGCCTAGGCGGTGCAATACACGAAATGGGCCAATGTACTTGGGTAGTAGTTTACTGCTACCCAAGCTAGTCACTACATGCTTTGGTAGATTAACCGTAGACAGTAGGACTAAGTCACCTTTATTAAATAAAAGAGTGTTTGCCCTTCCATTCTTGTCAGCGTTTTGCTTTTGCTTATCCACCGCTTCGGCGATGGAGTCTTGCACAAAACGGACTACCGTTTCACGAGCCAGTATGAACTCATCTGATGACTCGTTAGCTTCAGTGTGCTGTGAGCGCACTGCAGCAACAACAACCTTTTCTTCAGTGAGGGCTTCCGCACTCTCACTGGGATCATTATCTTCAGTGAGGGCTTCCGCACTCTCACTGGCATCATCTTCTTCGATATCGATGTTATCGATATCGGCATCAAACGCAATGACTTCTTCGTCAGAGCGTGATGAGCGTGAACCAAATCGGTTTTTGCTCGCGCGAGTCCCTCCCCCCCTTAAACCAGAGTTACACTCTAGTAAGGTGGGTATACGCGGATGGCGCAAGCCATTCACGTAAAACGGTGTATGTGTCGTGGACGCATGCACCGAGTTGTTGATGGCAAACTCTACCATTGGCAAAAACTCACTCCAACTCTTAAAGGAGTGTACGTATCCTCGAAGTATCTCTTCAAGGACACGATTGGCACGTTCCGTCTGACCATCCGACTCTGGATGATCAGATGTTGACATCTTCAAGCGCGTTCCGAGTGATTTGAACACGGAACGCCAGAAATCAGCAGTGAATCGTGGATCTCTGTCTGATACGAGTTCACGGGGCAACCCATGAAGTCGGAAGATGGTGTCAATAAAGACACAAGCACAGCCACTTGCCGTGATTGTCTCTGGTACAGCCACAAGGTGTACCATTTTGCTGAATCTGTCAACAAATACGAGAATACCCGTATTCCCGCGTGCGTCTTTGGGTAACCCGAAGACGAAATCCATTGAGATGGATTCCCAGCACTCAGCCGGAACCGGTAGAGGCTGTAAAGGTGCACGCAGTGAAGGACTTGACTTCACTCGTTGGCAGACTTCGCATGCGCGAACATACTTTCGCACAAACTGATACTGGCGGGGCCAGTAAAAGTCTCGACTTACCGTGAGATATGTTTTCTCTCGGCCACGATGTCCTCCTATAGGAGCATCGTGATACTCGAACATGATCCGCAAACGCAGATCAGTATCATCTGGAATGACAACACGTGGTGTGTCACCAGAAACGGCTGTATAATACAGTAAACCGTTACGAGTAGTGTATCGATCTGATGCAGATCGATACGCAGACGACAATCGTTTCAACGATTCTCGGGATGGTTGGGAGAGATGTGACAACAACTTCACTATCTCACCATCTTGGGCGTATGCCCGCCTCACATCATCATACAACATTGTAGATGGGACTGAGGACGTCATAACCGCAACAGTGACTGTCTCACTGTTGGGTTTCGCGACTGTTTCAAAGTCGGGACGACGTGAGAGTGCATCAGCGACGACATTAAGTCGTCCTGGTTTGTACTCGACCGTAAAGTTGTATTCTGCAAAGAATGACAACCACCGCGCCATTCGTTGTGAAAGGTGCGGGCTGTTCACTGCCGTGCGTAAGGACGCATGGTCAGTGTAAACAACGAAGGGTCTATCTCCTAATAGATAGACTCTGAACTTCGCGAGTGCATACTTCATGGCAAGGAGTTCCTTGTCATGCACTGGATAGTTCCGCTCAGCTGGTTGCAGCTGACGCGACTGATAGCAGACGACGCGTTCAACGCCTTCAAGGTCGTACTGCATTAATGCACAGCCGATTGCGAAATCGCTGGCATCACAGACCACATGAAATGGCCTGTCCTGATCGGCTATTGCTAGGACTGGGGATTGTATCAAGCTCTGCTTGATACCCTCAAAGGAGCGTTGACATTCAGCGTTCCATAACCACCTCTCGTTCTTTTTCAACAAACGAGAGAGGTGTACAGTCATCTCGGCGTAATTGCGTGAATACTTATGCAAATACGCCGCTAGCCCAAGGAATTTTCGAAGACCTTTGACATCGACCGGCACAGGCCAGTCGGTGATCGCCTTGATCTTTTCGGGATCAGGACGTACACCGTTCTTACCAACGATGCACCCAAGAAGTGGTATTTCGCTTGCTGCAAATATACACTTCTTGAGGTTTGCATACAATTGATGCTTTCGCATGATTGTAAGAACTCGTCGGACGTGGTACTTGTGAACCTCAACGTCCGACTTTCCATCCATAGCTCGACTATGGATGAATACGTCATCGAAATAACTCGGCGCGAATTCTCGTACTGGCCTCAACAGATGTGATACACACCTGTTGAACGTGGCAGGGGCATTACTGAGCCCTTG